ACTTCTTCTTCATTGGAGCAGCTATCCCATGCTGGACAAGGCAATCTCCCTACTGGAGGATTTCGAGCCATGAGATGTTTACTTTTTACGGGTAGGATTGTTAGCCCTACGACAACAGCCCTATTAGATCGGGACCTACGGTTTAAAGGGGATTTCGAACCACTATAAATATCAATGGCCCCTCCGTGATTTGAACCCGAAACATGTGGCCCCGACTACCAGAGCACTAGTCTTTCGAAAACAGGCCCCGAACAACGCAGGGATATCCTCAAATAAACTATTATGTAATTGGCGAAGTTGTAATTAATACAGTCACAAAAATGTTTTTGTTAAATATGATAACAATATGAAACAGTAAGGAACTTCTGTTAATTCAGTATGTTAAATATGAAACAGTATTGAACTTCTGGATGATTTCTTATGAGCTATTTCTTTTAGTAGTAATGATTACAATTGCAAATAATATAATTCATATAAAAATTATCTATTTTTCATTAAAAGGAAAGCTATAACTTTTACATTAAAGAACAAAATAAAAGTTTACCAAAGTATTTACCAGATAATCTGAAATTTACAACTATATCCGTTCATCTTTCCAGTCTTCAGTAAAAAAATAATCTTTAAATGACAAAAAACTCCTCCATAGTTTATTTCCAATAATTATGTGTTATTTCTTTACGCATCCAAGAAAATAAAAAAATAAAATCGCCTAAAGTTCAACCAGACCGTAAAACGAACTGAAACGTCGTCTCCCAAAACCATCGCAACACACGCAAGAGAATCAACAACAAAAGAACGAAGAAAAAAAAGAGGTTTCATTGGATTCAATTCCTGTTCTGCGGAATGATTCGGAAAGGAATAACGACGCGCGGTTATGGATTATTGCGGAACATCAAAAGAGCACCCCTCGAACTTCGCGGTTACAGTTTAGAGTCACATATCAAACAGATTTTCAGAGAAGTTTCCCCCCCCTTAATGAGAACTATCGATTGCAGCTTCGGGAAACGTTTATTGCCGCTCCAAATTTTGTTTTGTGCGGATATTCCGATTTCAGAACGACACACCTGACAGCTGGAACGACAGAAAATGGTTGAGGGAAGGATGGGAATGCGTTTTTAATGATCGTTCCCTCTGTGCATTAAAAAGGTGAAATGGCTTTCGATTTTAAAAACGAGTTGAGGATAAAAATCCATGAAAATTATTTTGCCTTAATTTTTTTAAAAAATACTTTTATTCTCTGCAAAAAAAATTATGTTGCAGTTCAATAATGCTAATTGTTTTTGTCAGAATATTATCATTTTTCATTGATTGTGTCTGTTGTCCATGAGATGGTGTTTGTTGTATTAATTATGGGACATAAATTTAAAACAACAACATTTAATTTATTAAAATGTTTAAATAGATGGAGTATTCAAGATTAAATTCATCGTCTTTATTGATTCTACATTCCCCTGGTGGACCCAGGCGTCTGCCTACTGGCAGATTTCGAGACAGGCGATATTTTCTTGTTTACGGGGTAGGGGTATCAGCCTTACAACCTACAGTCATATTAGACCTACGGTGTAAAGTGGATTCCGAGCCACCACGGTCATCTATGTCACCGCCGAGACTCGAACTCAAGATCTGTGGTGTCATCGCCAAAGTGCTAGTTACTTGACCATCAGGTTCCTCTATGATAAATGATCTTAGCAAATTTGTACTGCATGGACTTCAATCTCAAACCTGGGGCACCGACCACCAGCTAGTACTTCGCTAGTACTTCGCCGTCAGAACCCGGACAACACATTAATAACCTCAAATAAACTCCCATGCAATTGGGGAAATTGCAATTAATACAATTAAACAATTGTTTTTGTTAAGTATGGAGAGAAGCAATATTTAATTTTTTGAAAGATTTCTTTATGAACTACATCTTTGTGTAACATTAAATTACAAATAATATAATTCATTTAAAAATTATGTAAATTATAGTGAAAAGAAAACGGATCATATATTTTTTACATAACAAACTAAAATCTTACAAGGTACCGTGTAATGTCTCAGCTGGTATTAGACCTATAACTGCTTTATGCTAACTGCTACCTATAACTGCTTTATGCTAACTACTACCTGTAACTGCTTAACTAATTTACAACTATATTTGTTCATCTCTCCAGCCCTCAGCAAAAAATTATAATCTTAAAATGAAAAAAAAAAATCCCCCCCCCACTAGTTTATTTTAAATAATTGTTTGTTCTTTTAGCATCCAAAAAAATAAAATCGCCCCAAGTTCAATCAGACCGTAAAACGGAATAAAACGACCGTCTCTCAAAACCACACGAAAGAAAATCGGAACAGCAATAAAAGAAAGAAGAAAAAAAAAGAGGTTTCATTGGATTCAATTCATGTCCCGCGGAATGATTCGGAAAAGAATAACGACGCGCGGTTATAGATTACTGCGGAAAATCAAAAGAACACCCACCCATCGAACTTCGCGGTTGCAGTTAAGACCCACATATTAAACAAATTTCTAGAGAAGATTTTTTTCCCCTCCCTCACCTTAATGAGCGCTGTCGATTGCAGCTTTGGGGGACATTTATGGCCGCTCCGTATTTTGTTTTCTGCGGATATTCCAATTTCAGAACGACGAACATGGTAGTTGGAACGACAGAAAATGGCTGAGGAAAGGATGGGAATGCGTTTTTAATGCTCGTTCCCTCTGCGCATCAAAAAGGTGAAATGGCTTTGGATTTTCAAAACTTGCGAGGATTAAAATCCGTAAAATATTTTGTTTTTAACTTTTATCCTGTACAGAAATTTTTTTTCAGTTCAATAAAGCTGAGTGTTGTTGTTGGAATACTATCATTCTTCATTGATATTGTCTGTTGACCATGGGATGGTGTCTGTTGAAATAATTATTCCATTTAAATTCAAGTTAATTACATTTAATGTATTAAAGCTTTTAAATAGATGATGTATATATAATCTAATAATAGATATTATTGATTGAATATAAATGGTAATATTGAATTTCATAATCAATAGATCATCAATTTCTTCTTATTCATTGGCGCAACAACCCCATGGTGGGACAAGCCATAAAATCCTCTCCAAACAATCCTCTCCAAGAAAGAGACAATGCTCTCCAAGAAATCTGCCTAAGGGCAGATTTCTTGGAGAGGATTGGAGATGTTTTTTTTTTACCTGGTAGGATTGCCAGCCTACGCCAAATTTGATTGGTCTTATTTGACCAGGACTTACAGTTTAAAATGGTTGAGGGCAGGATAGGACTTACAGTTTAAAGTGGATTCCGAACCACTACAAACATCCACGACACCACCAAGACTCGATCAAGAAGCCTGTGGCACCGAGTTCCAATACGCTAATCACTCGGCCATCAGGCACCATATAAACAAGAATTTGCTAGCACTCTTGCCTTTGTTTGAATCCTGGCTACAGCATTGTTATTTGTTAATGGTTCGGAATCCACTTTAAGCTGTAGGGCCTGGCCTAATTAGTCCAATGTCTGGCAAAAAAGGTCAATAGTGGGACAAACCAAACAAGATAATCAAGTTACGAATTATACCATTCAACACTACAATAGTATAACTATTTATTAGTAACAAGGTGAAAAATGTGTATCCAGGAAATCTACAAAAAGAAGCGAGTTTTATTATTCCGAGGGTAACTTAAATAGGGTAATATAATATAATACGTAATATAAATACATAAGATGTGAGTCGATAAAAATATTATTGCCGTACAATTTTGAATTATCTCAATGATTCTCATACGAGCAATCCGAAGAGACGCAAAGACCTTTTTATTAATAAAGATATAAATTTAAAGAATTAAATTAAATTAAAAAAATTCAGTTCGAAATAAAGTTGGATACTTTTGTCTTTTGGAAGATTCTGGAGCAGTTTTTATTGGCTAGAGTTGGTATATTTTTGTATTATTGGTTGATTGGTTTATATAAGATTACTGATAGTTGATTGGCTGATTTGTAATGGCTCGTGTAGGGTTGATCAAGTCGGTATGTTTGGTTGGATTGGTCCAGTTGGTATAATTGATTGATTTGTATTTACTAGAGTAGGACTGATATGGTTGGTTTGATCGAGTTAATATGATCGGTTTGTTTGTATTGTCTTGAGTTGCATAGTTCTATAGATTCGAGGTTCTTTAGAAGTTTCTAAAGTAATTGTATTGGCTCAATATTCTTTAAAAGCTTCTAAAGTAGTTGTATTATCTTGAACCTACCATGTTGTAGGATACGACTCAATTCTTTGCAATGAAATTAACTGCAGATCTTTCATTACAATTTGTGTTTATTTTATGACATTTAATAGTGAATTGTTGTAATCTAAGAAAATGTTATCTCTTTATTTCATTATGACATAATGGCAAAGTAATTTTTTATGTGTATGTTATAGCTCCTATATATAAATAACATTCAAAACCAAAAGTTTTGAAATGTTTTTTGTAGGGAAAAATTACATTAAACTAAAATAGCAATGTAAATTATTTTGAAATATTAATGCCAATACTCCTCATAATAGAGTAGTCTTTAATTATACTATACATGTCAAAGAAAAAAAAAAGAAAAATATAATATATCGAAAAAAATGCTATAATGGACGACTTCCTCTAAGTTACGTAGATTTTTTTCCTTAAAAAAGAAAGATGGGAAAATGCCTCAGGCATGATTAACGAAAGTTAATTATATTTTACTTTACCTTTTAATTTCTGTTGTTGTTGTTGTTTCTTATCCCACTTGGCTGGCCAAGCCCACGAGAAGGAATGATAGAAGGGGAAGGAAGCAGCTTCTGTTGTGATGGAGCACCCGTAGGTAGAAGCCTGACTTTTGCTCCGTGACGCTCTTACAGTCATAGGAGACCGGGATCTACGGCTTAAAGTGGATTCCGAACCACTACAAACATCCATGGCACCGCCGGGATTCGAAACCGAAATCTGTGGCACCGAGCGCTAGACACTCGGCCATTCAGGTCCCAAATTTGCCAACGACATGCGATGTTCCCAGGTGGTCACCCACCCAAGTACTGACCGCGCCCAATGATGCTTGACTTCGGGGAGATATATAAAATAGTTAATATTGATAATATGCAGGCGAATAAGTGGATGAGTGCAGTAAAAATCAAAGTGTACTTGCTTTGATTTTTACTGTACTTGTTTACATATTCGTTTGCATATTATCAGTGTTAGCTATTTTATATATTATTATTATTATTATTATTATTATTACATATCTCATTCACCTGCATGTGATCTGTTCTTGTATATACTTGTACTTGGGTCTTTTTATCAATAAAGTTAAAAAAAAAATGAGATTATGCACTCATAGATGGCCACTTGCATCATGTTCCAAGGGTAGTTAACCTACCGGTACCATGCTGCGTTTACCGGTTCTTAATCCGTTTTCAAGTCATTTCATTTACATTTTTATTATTTTATTGTTATCTCTTTAATACTTGCCACACCATTTTATCGTAGTACCTGAGGTTATAAGCCTTTAAGGCGTTGGTGCCTCATTCCTCACCCCCCCGACTGACTTGACTTCGGTGATCTAACGAGAACCGGTATATTCAGCATGGTATGGCCGTTGGCCGTTTTAATTCCTTAATAAATTATACATTAACGTGATGCTACCTAAATTATTTTCTTTAGAAACGATGTAAATGAGTAAATAAAATTTTATTAGCTCAAAATTGTCAATGATTAATAAAAAAAAAAAAGTTCCTTCATTTGTTCTCTGCGAGATATAACTATTAAAAATCAAATCAAAAGATATTTAAAGTGGTACAGAGTTAAGGCATCTAAATTTACATATCTGAGACGCGAACATTATACTTTGCTTTTGATTTACTAACACTGAAACATTACTTAATTCTGATGCTGTATTAAGTGCCGTATTACTTAATTGAATCTTAGTCACAACTTTTTATTCTGACGTGAAAATTATGGCTGTTTAATTGTATTACCATAAATAATCCGCTTTATCAACTCAAAAAAGCGATTCTTACAAAAAGTGAGGTTTCCAATGTAGCAGGAGAACACCAACTCAATCCTCCATCTACCTCCATTACGTCAGCTTAATGCTTACATAAGCGAATTTGCATGCAATAGATGTGTTTTCTGTGGAGTTGAAAATAAAAACAAGGTTGGTTGCCTTTAAGGTTACCACCAGGAACTCTTGAATTGAGGGCCAATCTCTAGTAATTAAGTTAAAAGGACTAAGTAAATTTTTTAACCGCTTCAGGAATTCTGACACACGTTTAGTTTGTTTTACTAGAAAATATTCTAGATGATTTAAAATCTGCATAAGAATTATTTAATACAGATAATTTTTGTTGACCCTTTATTGTCTGTAAATATTTAATACAAATGGTAGCATTGCCTTGCTAATGTTGTAAAGCTACATGACATATATTACTATCGCAACAAATGGAAATTCAAGATGTTATGACAAAAAGTATGTAAGAACTCGCAGCCTTTTTGAAAAATATAGGGAACTCATATGGGCTAAAAGTATTAATTTTTTATTCGTTATTTCATTCAAATATTTTTATTAATCAATGCTCACTGTTTACATAGATAGCTATGTATTTTCATGTATATATTTTTCTACTTTCTCCAATTTACAAAATTTATGAATGAAGAAACAAGTTTAATTTGAAAAACAAATTAAAAACCCTTCAAGTTTTGTGGCATAAAAACTTGCATAAAATCCGGATGAACTTTATTATTAATATATGAGGGTAGGCAGGGTTTATTGGCATTGTCATATTAACATAAGTTAATGGAATGTTTTGGGTATAGAAAGGTTTCGGAAGAGTTTTAGCATTTCATTCCCGAAATGTGGACAGAGAAAGAGGAACGTATATTCTTTGACAATAATAACAACCTATCACTCAAATATGATAGCAAATATACAGTGTCTTATATTATGAGATTCATGAAATTACCTATTGTCTGTGAGACCATCACAGGTCGAAACAATTACAGATGGAATATGGACTACACCATGAGTTGTTCCATCGTGATTGGTGATAGACCATGAGCTGAGAAAAAGTCTACTCCAATGAGATGTAAGAGAAGCTGATCCACATCTCTTAACGGATGTTTTTGGAGAAGAAGAAAGAAGTGTTCTGCGAGGGAATCAGAAGTGTTATTTTTCTTTTTTTCTCTGAAGTGACTGAATAATCTGGAATTTCCGCCTGTTTCCAAAGCGACCTTTTGTGGTTTCGTGTGTCACGTCGTACGATAATTAAGGTCTGCCGGAGACCACGTGTTTTGAATTTGTCGTAGACTCTAGAACTCTGAAAATCTCCGACGTTGAAGTGAACCGTACTTGTGATTTAATTGTGCACTTCTGATCAAGTTTTTATTTTTAATTTTCCTTTACATGTATAATAACCCAGAGTTCTGCATTTGTATGTATATATATATACTCACTCGCCTCATTCAGGAACATTGGAGCCCTTTAATTTTTTGTTTACAAATACTATATATATATATAATGTGGCTCTCTTCTTGAAGCCGTTATAGAGTTAGTATACGCCGAGACGTTACATTCCAACACCTGTTATCACCAATAGATAATTTGACTTTAATATATTGTTCTCTGATTTTGAATAACTGATTTATTATTGGAAAACAAAAAAAAAAATGAATGAGCTTACTTACTATTGGACATTAAACGTAGGCATTTTAATCTCGTTGCGATGCTACATAACCCACTGAAAAAGAAAATAAAAAGAATAAGTTTCAGTTTAAGTTACTTCAGTTTTTAAGTAAATTAAATACCTCCTTTTATTTCCAGTACAAACAATCTTATTTTTATTGATAACTTTGTTCATATTGTAGCAGAGCATTCATTTGCAATTTCAATTAGGGTTTATATTCCATTAAATGATTAGGTTATGTCCTGAATATTTTCGCGAAGTTATTCATGTCATCCTTTATACTGCTAATATAAACGTGAGCATATTAGATTCGTTTCATTGATAGATTAACATGAAAAAGACTTTTTATGGGGCTAAATGTACTCAACTCTTTTTCATCAAGTATATTTTGAATGCAGCTAACTTAAAGGACGCCTATCAAATAACAATTTGAGTAAATCAAGTTTCTATTCATATTTCTTGAAATATGGATTTCTCGATCTTTCGTGATGTTAAGTATTTCCATTTGAATAAATAGTTAAGTTATAAAATAAGCCTATTTATCAGATGATGTCAGTAAAAATATTTAGAGCGTTAGTAATATTTATCAAATGGCCTAATATAAGGGGCCACATGTTTCGTGTTCGATTACAGACAGTGCCATGGATGTTTTAGTAGTTCGAAACCCGCTTTAAACCGCAAGTCCCTGTCTAATATGGCTACAGTGCTTTGGGTGTAAGCTGACAACCCTATCCCGTAAAAAGATAATCATCTCAAGGTTCTTCCCATTTTCAATTCTGCCAGTAGGCAGACAGCTTTTGCTCACCATGGGTCTGTTGCGCCATTGAAGAAGAAAAAGGTGTTTTTATTAAATTTCAACGAGTTGAAATGTAAAACTTCTTTGTTAACAGATAAGGTGTTTAAAAAAGGTTTCCACAGGTTTCGTGTTCGATTACAGACAGTGCCATGGATGTTTTAGTAGTTCGGAACCGGCTTTAAACCGCAAGTCCCTGTCTAATATGGCTATAGTGCTTTGGGTGTAAGCTGACAACCATATCCCGTAAAAAGATAATCATCTCAAGGTTCTTCCCATTTTCAATTCTGCCAGTAGGCAGACAGCTTTTGCTCACCATGGGTCTGTTGCACCATTGAAGAAGAAAAAGGTGTTTTTATTAAATTTCAACGAGTTGGCATGAAAAACTTCTTTGTTAAGGAGTTTTAAAAATTTTTTTAATAGAATTCTCATTCAACGTATGTATTAATGTTCATTGATACATGAAAAAGGAAAGACTTCTTCTTCCTCATTGGCGCAACAACCCCATGGTGAAGCAAAGCCGTCTGACATTGGAAAAATTGAAAAGGAGAAGAAACATGAGATATTTTTTTAAGGGATAGGTTGTCAGCCTACTCCCAACGCACTACAGCCATATTAGAAGATTCAAAGGTAAATATAAGTTATTCGAATACTTGTTGTTTCTTATAAAACTTGTAGGCATCTAACCACGAACCCGTTTTGTTGCTGCTACAAACACGGGCAACATAACTTTATAATGTCATTTCATGTCTGCTTTATCGAGCTCGAAGTTATACATATAAACCATGTGCTTTATTTCTCTCCCTACAATTACACGAAACACTGCAAACATTGGTATCGCAATGATTCAGTCAAGGTTTAGCAGATTATTTAATTCCTGTGTTCAATTTTGTGTTTCTCAAATAGAGCTTGAACTATTTTTAAAGGCATAAATAAAAATTTGTTCCCATTCTGTTTAATTTACGTTGTCCCTTCAATAACTTTAGTAATAATATATGTAAAATACATCCATTTACTATAAAATTTCGAACATTTATTAAATTACCCTTAAACAAACACAAAAATTGCGATCAAACTTTTCCGTAAGTTTATCACAAAGATGAGATCGATGATATATTATTTATTTTGAGCATAACTGTAATATATTTTCATATAATTTCGGTGAATTGCATAAATATATCGCATCGAACACGATGTTGAACACAGTTTTTGTTCGGCTGTGGATTCATAGTTGAAGGGAAAGGGGACAGCTTCTGCTGTGTTTTCACTCGTATGTAGAAGTCTAACTTGGATCCGTGATGCTGATTTTGTTATCAACCTTACGCTCTACAATCATTTAGAACGGGACCTTCGTTTTAAAGTGGATTACGAACTTCTACAATATCAATGGCATCGCCGGGACTTTAACCTGAACCCTGTGGCTCTGAACCATAGAGCGCTAGTCACTCGGCTATTAAGCCCATTTAATTTAGTTGTACTATTGAAATTATGCAGATCATGTAGAATTAATTAAAATATTCATTTTATTTTATGAATTTAAAAAAAATATACACATATATTGTTTTTCATTAATTATATTGTGAAACATTTTGAAAT